CCATAGGCTCACCTGCCTTTCTCTGAAGCAACCTTGGTTTCTAAGCTGTCGAGAGAAAAAGCAGACATATAAATATTTTAAGCGAATAAATAAAACTTGAGATTCCTAAGAGAATGTGTTGCTAAAGAATAGGGATTGCTAAAATATGAAACTGTAACACTTGTCTACAATATGCTTGGTTATAAAACAAGTAATGTTGTAGATGTTTAGTTAAAAGCGTACACATGCTTTTAAGCCTTCAGGGTAAGTCGCAGCCTTCCTCTTGAAACAAATTTGAGCACAGGAAAATAAGACTAGTCGTCCTGGATCAGGTCCACCCAGCCCAGCATCTTGATGTCAACAGTGGCCTGTCTTATGACACAGGAAGGCCCACAAGCCGGGCCTGTTGGCAGTAGCCTGCATTTGCTGACCGCTTCGGGGCATTCCGGGCATTCTGGCTCTGAACCTGGAGGTCCCATTTGTCTATCATGGCTAATAGCCAATGACAGCTAATCGCCAACGATAGACCAGTCCCTCATCAATCTACCCAACACCCTTTCATATATGTCTAGCAGGGCCATCGCCACATCTTGTGGCTGTGAGTTCCACAAGTCAACTAGCCACAAGGTAGCAGCAGATGAAACCGCTTTAATTTAGTTGGCTGGCTCACAACGTTAATAGACAAGCTGTTCAATGAATTCATGGGCAATAAGTTTGCAAGAAGATGTGCCAGACTGTCAAGCTCTTTCTGTACTTGTAAGGCTTTGGAAATTTTACTCTGCACTGCAGAAACTGGGTGGGGGCTACGGTTTTTAGGAGTGTCACATTTAAATTAAGCTGGCTGATTTCTCAGAATTTCTTGTAATGTCTATGTTTTTTAAAAAATTTACATTTGTGCTAAAATTGTTGTATTTCTGTTACTTGCTTTGCGTCTCGGTTTCTGGCAGAAAGGCCAGCTTTACACAGTTTTTAAAGGAAAGGAATTATTTTTAAATTTTGCAACGTATTTGTGGAACAATGTACGATGTTCAGCATATTAACACAAAAGAATCCCGTTAGTTTGGTGTAGTGGTTAAGTGTGCGGACTCTAATCTGGGAGAACCGGGTTTGATTCCCCACTCCTCCACTTGCACCTGCTGATGTGACCTTGGGTCAGTCACAAGCTCTGGCACAGCTGTCCTTGAAAAAGAGCAGTTTGTGTTAGAGTTCTCTCAGCCCCACCCACCTCACAGGGTGTCTGTTGTGGGGAGGGGAAGGGAAAGGAGTTTGTAAGCCGCTCTGAGACTCCAAGTGAAGGGCGGGGTATAAATCCAATCTCTTCTCTTCTTCTCTTCTTCTACCTCATGGAAAGCCATCTATCTAGATTAAAGAGGAAAAGAGAGAAATGTTACACTTAAATGAAACTTAGTTCGCTCAGCAAGCATAGTTCAAACAGACCAGATTCTAGGTGTATCAATGGTACGCAGCCTTTAACAGTATCCTCATCTAGATGGTCAATATTATTTCTTGCTGTATGTTGTTAATTCTGTTGTTATTGCTCCAGTATTTAATAAATGGTTGAAAATGGTATAAAATAGCTCATGTTCATAGTCTGTTCTTTCCAAGATGTGTGTATACATTGAAAATTTATTAATCAACCTTACAAACCAGACCTTCCTGATCCATTCCTGAATGTCTGGTACAGTTTGGCTCACTTCCAAAACTGTGCAGTCAGATGGTAGCCTCTATCAACATATTTAGTACTGGTCCATACACCCCTTCTTTGCAGGCTAGGCATAATACCAATTAATGCAAGCCCTGGATCCTTACACCCACAGCATCTGAAATGACATGCAGTTGTCTCCTATGTCAGAGTAACAAATAGGATGGCTCCAGAAGAAGTTTAGCTTTTCCATTACCTATAAATTAAAAGTTGGGTTTTTTTGCAGCTTAAACAGAGATGATGTTAGAATCTTGACTAAAATTAAGTTATTATTGGTGAAACCCTCTATGCAAAAGGGCTTGTTAGGCAAACTATATCAGGTACTTAGACCACAAGAAACCCATTCAGGATACGATGGATCCATCAGTGACTATCCATCAGTAACTATCCGGCTTAACTAGCATAAAAATATCACAATTGTTTCATTGAACACTGGTCTATGTGTAGATGGTTATAAGTTGCTTTACAGGTGGTACAATACACCAGGTAAATTAGTCCACATTTCCAAGACAAAGGATGTATCTGATGTTTGCTGGAGGTGTGAGAACGCTGTTGGTACTTTTTCACATATGGTGGAAGTGTCCACTTGTGCAGGAATGGTCGACCAAGATATTCACTGTGATGCCTGCTTACGCATTTTAACAACTAAATAAATCACTAACTGGCCAGATGGAAGGGAAGGGGAAAAGAATGCAAATAAGCCAAAGGATCCTGTGGGTCTTTTCACATGACAACAAAACATAGTTTTGATTAATCCGGCCACAGAACTGTTTGGATGCTGGTGTCCGTGTGGGAAGGTTGGCAAACCCTAGGAATATATTGTCTCTTCGTTCACTTTTTCCCCTTAACTTGAACTGACTTCCTTCCAGCCACTACTTCAGTTTGCACTAGCCAGTCTGGATCTAGATGGAAAGGTAACACACAAGCAGCCTTTGGAAAAACAGCATTTATCTAGGCATACACTTCTTCCAACAGGACAGCATTTCCATGTGCAAAAGAGGAGGCAGCAACGTTTGCCAATCTCCCCCCTTCTAATGCAGGACCCCCACTTTGTGCTGCCCCTGAGGGTCCGCTGGTCCCCCTCAAACAAAACTGGGGAGAGAGGGCTGAGTGAGCGGCACGGAGACCATGGAGGGTTGCGTTAGCATGGCTGGTTGCTCCATTGTACAGTTTCTCAAATATATTTCATGCTTTTTCCCCTGCCATAGGCAATTAAAGCGTACAAAGCTGCAGTACAGCAAACCTTGGATATCATGTTCCTCCCTGAAGGAAAAGAATTCCTTACCAGCACGGACGCGGTGAGCCAAGATTCAGCTGACCGTACCATCATTGCTTGGGACTTCCAAACAGGTGCAAAGATCTCCAACCAGATTTTCCATGTAAGAGGATTATTCGCTGACTGTTTTTGTTGTTAAAACTTCTAGATCACCTGGTCGTCAAAAGTTAGCATCTAATGACAATTTCTTGACTTGATTTATTTGATTTTTATCCCTCCCTCCCGGCCAAGGCCGGCTCAGGGTGACTTACAACAACAGGATAAAATTCCAACAATACATATAAAACCACAACACCAATTAATATAAATACAATGTCAAAACCAAATCATAATAAAGTGCTAGCGTAATTTCCTCATTTTAAATCAGCTTTGGTCTGCTTCAATTGTCTTGGGCGATTTGCTCGGGCAGTACTGTAGATGTATTTTGCCTGCCTCAGTATCACAGAGAACTGTGCCCTCCTACCCCAAGGAAAAAGGCTGATCCATCTCAATCAGAAGTAAATCCCATTGAATGTAAATGATGTACTTACAAACTACATATGTTTAGGGTTTTATTTACTGAAATGCCATAGGAGATCAAGGCGGTTTCCAGAAAATTGAAAAATAATCCAAGCTAAAATTGCATGCTAAAATCACACTTAAAAAAAAAAATCACAGTATTGCAGCCTTCATTTCTTAAAGATGGGATGCTAGTTTCAGATTGCTGGTTTTGCATCTTGATTTTGAGGTCAGCAAGCGACTAGGAACTGGAAAATGTGCTTAATAAAGCTTTTGAACTTTAATAGCAGCTGTGATGACAGTCGGACTATTTGGGAACTTCTGTTGTGCAAATGACATTTCTTGTAATGGAGCATATGCTGGAGCGCTTTCTGATGCAGATTGTGGAGCAATGCTATTTTTTCATACTTTTTGCTAGCTGATGTGCAGTTTTTACCTACAGCTCTTGGTGCTGATAGTGGTAGTTGGCATGCTACACGTAGAAGGATCATGATAACTTGTTCCTGCCCCTTGACTGTGCCCTAAACGGTCTGGAACCCACGTATATTCGGGATCTCCTCTCCTGGTATACCCCCAGAAGAGCACTGCACTCTGCAGATAAGAACTTACTGGTGATCCCCAGCCCAAGAAACATACAACTGTCCTCGACCAGAGCCAGGGCGGTTTTGGCCCTGGCTCTATCCTGGTGGAACTCTCTGCCGAACAACATCTGTGTCCTGTGGAACTTAATGCAGTTCTGCAGGGCCTGTATGTCAGGTTCCACAGCAAGTAACTCTTCACACACGTTTCCTGAGAAGCGTTATGCTTTATTAGAGTACAAAACCAGGACCATATCCACAGGATTATTGTTAGGAATAACTATAGGGCGGGAACATCCGTACATATAGCCAGACGAGGCAAATAGCTAAGCAAATGAACTTCGAGCGTGCGGGCGGGAATTCTCCTGGCGGGAAGTTACATAATGAGCGGGAGACTCGCAGGGCCCCTGAGAGCAGAAAGATTCACACCAGTGGTGGACCGCAAGCCCTCCCATCCTCAGAAGGCCAGACTGATAACGCTGTCTAGCTGAGCCAGCTCCCACGGTCTCCGAGGCAATGTTTACGCAAAGCTGCTGAGCTGCGAGCAAGCGGGAACGGAAGGACAGAAGCAACATAAAATGGCAGCTAGCTGACACTGTAAGACAGAGATGTTCCGCCAGGCATTTGGTTGAGGACAGTAACAGTTCCCACCTAGGCCCTCCTTTTCCCCCCCCCCCCCCGGCGGGGCACCACAATCTGAAGTTGCTTAGCGCCATCTAATTAGGCCAATTGTCGTATTTTTATTGTTTTAACTATGCATTTTTAGTTGGCTCCGCCCCAAGTGTAGTTAGGTAATTTTTAATCTCTGGACTCAGCCTGGGTTTTATGTGATTGTAATTATGCACCTTGTCATATGTTATGTTAATTTTATGTACCTATTTTACCCCCCTTTTGCATTTTCTTCTGGTCAAGACTTCGGTCATATAGACCTGTAATAAATTGAATTGAATTGAATTAACTATGAATTTAATTCATGATTGTGTTTTTGTTGTTGTACCCCACCCTGAGCCCTGTTTTACAGGGGAAGGTGGTTTAGAAATTTAATTTAGTAAATAATGTGTTTACATATGGATGAAGCATGAACCAGTTCTTGGATTTCATGCTCAGGCCCTTGGGCAGAGCTGAGTCCTAGCCTTCACATTCTTAACTGTGAATTTCCTGCACCTTCTGCAGAAAAAAACGTGAAGCTGGGACCATCCTTGATGTTGCCTTCCCTACAGGGGTGTGTGCGATATGCTGATCTGAGTGGTTTTTAAAAACAAAACAAGGCATTTCCTATGTGGTTTTCATCAGTTTCAAACAAAGATGGCTGAAACGTTGCGGGAGGCACCATGGCAGTTCAGTCTTTTTCAAAAAAATGTAAATAAAGAAGGAGGACAGTTGGTGTCCGTATATCTCTGAAAAGAACAATCCTGCCCTGGCAGAGAGATGGAGTGGTTGATATAATGGGACTTCTCCATTCCCAACTTCCGTGATTACGCCTTTGTCCAGATCTGCAGATGTACAATCCTGTACATAAATTGTGATAGCAGGTTAGTCATTTGCACTTCAAAGGCAGTGTGCTTCAGTGAATAAGAAACAGCAGAGCGCTCAATTTTGATGTATTCAGCAGCTTAAACAAGGATGATTTCTGTGCGAAAAAAGAGAGAGTTTTATTGAATGGGGCAGTTTACTTCTCTCTTCAGAGCTCGCATGAAATTGAGGGTGATTTTTTTGGTAAACAATTACAAAAAATTGCCTTTAGTTTCATACATTTCCATTTCTAATCTTTCAGATGGGTGCTTGGGCGCACTCCCAACGCACTGAGAAGGCAGTTTTCACTTTGAGCCACCATAAACAGTATTTACTGAGCCAAGACAACTTGCATTGTTTGTTTTCCTGCCTTTTTTGTTCTACAATGGCTGACTTTTGCCTGGGAGTCATTTCTTCTTTCTCAGTCAGACGAAATGGCCCAGTATGGATGCTACCTGTAGCATATTTCCTCCCTGACAATATGATGTTTATGATTATGCACAGGATCTTGACCATCAGAATGGCATTTAAATAAACGCTACAGCATAAGATGTGACACAAAACTGCTGGCCACTTAGGTTTGCCAGCCTCCAGGTGGAGGCTGGAGATCTCCCGAGATTATGACTGATCTCCAGGCAACAGAGAGAGAGCCATTCACTTGGAGAAAATGGCTGCTTTGGATGGTGCCCTCTGTGGCATTATACCCCATTAAAGCCCCTCCCTAAACCCCACCCTCATTAGGCCCCACCCTCAAAATCTCCAGCTGTTTCCCAACTTGGAGCTCGCAACCCTATGGCCACTTCTGATTCTAAGAAGATCAAGGAGCTGACTCCGAGGAGAGAGAACTGAGTAACAACAACCGCTGTGAAATCACAGATACTAGCACCTTACTGTGTCTTATGGTTTAAATAGTTTTAGAATTGTTAATTGTTGCTGTTAACCTATTGTTACGGCTCAGGTGGGGTGTCACCTGACGCTGCCACCACTCTGGTGCCAGGCTCTCTTGAGAAGGCCCAGAGCACCCTCCCAAGACCTTTAGACCTCCCTTTTTGCCGAATAATAGGCAGGAGGACCAGGCAGAGTGAACAATGAAAATAATTTATTGTATAGGAGGTCAAACAAACAAGGTGCAGAAATATAACAGTAAGTGGGTGAAAAGAAAAGAAATCAAATGCCCTAATGCGTCTAAATATATATTGTCCCTAGCTCACTATTCCAAGTGACACTAGACTACTCACCCTTCCCTCAGGATGAGGGTCTCTTCCCCACAGCAGCCTTCCTTCTGGCTCTGCCCTCTGGGAAGAACAGCTTTTCCTGCTGCACCAGATCTTTTATTCGAAGCCTTCCTCTTTTCCTATTGGTCAATTTTGGCTCCAAAACCTCTCAAGGGCTTCTGGGAGTTGTAGGTCCAGCCTTACCTACTGCTAGCCAGGCTCCCTGAGCCTAGTAGGCCTCTGGTGGCACAGCCCAGATCATGACACCTATATTTTATTTTTATTGTAAATTCTATGCTGATTTTATGTAAGCTGTCCTGAGCCAGCCTTGACTGGGAGGGTGGGGTAGAAATTCAATAAATCAAATCAATTCCTAGGGACAAGCACCCCATCCTTGACCATTATGTCTGACCTGGGCAGAGCAGTGGGGATACAACCCAGTTTTATTAAATACACCTTTCTGTCACTTTCCCCCAACCCCTTCCAGGAGCGCTATACCTGTCCCTGTCTAACACCTCACCCGAAAGACTCGATCTTTGTGGCTCAGACAAACGGCAACTACATGGCCTTGTTCTCAAGCCTTCGACCCTACCGAATCAACAAAAAGAAGAGATATGAAGGCCATAAGGTGGGTGGTCTGTGGAAATGTATAGCATGCTCTTTTATAGTCCTTTTAGCATGCCTGCTTATGCTGTTGATTTATAACAGGGATAAAAATTAATAGACTTCAACCCCGTTCTCTATATTTTAGTCAATTTAGAATGAAATTGAAGCGTGGGCAGAGCTTAAAATAACCGAGAGAATTATTAATTGCTAATAGCCCGCTCTCGTATACACTGACTGCCACTAACAATGTAAAGCCCTTAATGGGACTGTCTTAATAAACACCTGGGGAAGCAATTAAAGCATTATGGCTAAAATTGACATGTTTATTGCACTGCGAAATTCCAGGAGGTTATAGATCATACCAACGTTTCCTTAATTAAGCGTCTTGCTTTATCAAAACTCTTTCATTCTTTGACTCATACAGGTTGAAGGGTTTGCCGTCCGCTGTGAGTTCTCTCCAGATGGGACACTTCTCGTGACCGGGAGTTCGGAGGGCAAAGTGTTTTTCTACAGCTATCGTACGGCTCGAATTGCACGCACGTTGTCTGCGCACAGGTCGGCTTGTGTGGACACCACTTTTCACCCCATCCTCCCGTCCCTTCTTGCTACCTGTGGTTGGGATGGAGAGATCAAGATATGGCAGTAATGAAAAGACGTTGAACAATGCAAATTCTCTAGCCAGCTTGTTGGCCTTCTTGCTTCCTACCTTTTTTAATCTTTAAGGGTCTGTTTTGAAATTCTGTGTTGTGAGACTGGTCGTGGCTTGCATTTAGGTGAGGGCAAAAGCGTTTGGTTCCCTAGCTGCCTCATACCAGGACCAAACGTGCCTGTCTCCTTTACTCTACTTCTGGGGTTCCCCATGTCCACAGAGCTGTATCTTCCTTCCAGCTGTCTCCTCCTACTTCCTGTTGTAGCCTATTAAGGCCAAAGGCTGTCCAGTTGATGATTCACCTGCTACACAAGATCTTGGACTCGAAGAGAAGAAATCTCCCTTGATAAGTCCTCTGGCAGCATAGAAGCCTGAGTTTAAATTGGACTAAATCCACACTATAGCTTTAATCTTTTTTACCTCTTTTCTGCTAAGGGTCCTGCAAACAGTTTTCATCAGGTCTGAGTCTTTGGCCTGGGTTTTAGCCTAATGGCTGATGGAACCATAGAGGTTTTGTACAGTGCATGATAACACCATCAGAACCTGACCTTCAAATCACTGGGTTGGATCCTACGGATCTTTTATGCCAAAAATGGCAGCATCCCCCAGGCAAAGAGCCTTTCCTTGACTCAAGAGTCAGGAGAGAGTGCCACTGTTAGCCGAACAGTCCTGTGAGATCCAACCCACGGTGTTTCTCATTATTTAGGGGGAAAGAGAGCCAGTCTGGTGTAGTGGTTAAGAGTGGCAGGACTTTAATCTGGAGAACCGGGTTTGATTCCCCACTCCTCCACATGAAGCCAACTGGGTGACCTTGGGTCAGTCACAGTTCTCTCAGAGCTCTCTCAGCTCCACCTACCTCACAGGGTGTCTGTTGTGGGGAAAGAAAGGGAAGGTGATTGTAAGCCACTTCTTCTTCTTCCTCTTCCTCCTTCTCCTCCATCATCATTTTAATTTGGAGAGGCTTTCTACACAAAGGTGTGGAAATATTTGATTTCTTGCTTTGGATGTGAATCCATTTTGGACTGATGTACTTTTAAGTATGTTTACAGTGTTTCATCTCTTTTTGTTTTGTTACCTTTTGGGGATTGTAGGGAATGAAAGGCATCAAGGCTCTGGTGAAAACATTAAGTTTTAATTCCATGCATCGTTAGTCTGAGCAGAGCTAGCAATGATCTGCTGTAGATGGCAATCGTGAACTCTGACATACCCCTCTTGTGCTAGAGAAAATGGGTTTGTACAAAAATTTCCTATATAAGTGAAAGGTGTTGTGTGTACATATTAAAAATGTTCAAAGAAAATAACCCTAATAAGCTAAATGAATGCTGGTTTCACTGTTGGGTCTTCAGATTCCCTGTCAAGTGTTAATTGCCATGCCTGTTTACATGTTTTAATTTTTATTTGTTGAATTTTATTTTTGCTTTAGTATCCCTGCACCAATCACCAAATAGTATTCGAGGCAGCTTAAAACATATCAGAAAGAATTTACGATAAAAATGCACAATAAAATTTATCATCCCCACCAAACAAGCAATTAAAGCAAAACCTTAAAACAGTATCAAAGCATCCTGTGATTAAATATCAGTCACTATTTCAAAGTCTGACTGGAATTAAAAAGAAAATATGTGGGTGCTGAAGACCCTGCTCATCTCCAGCTTAAATAATGGTAATTAGAACTCTGCAGGGCTAGAGGGAAGAGAAGGAGAAGGCAACGGGGGGGGAAATAGATACAAAATAAAACTTAAAACTTAAAGGGAAAAAAAGGTTTGACGGTCTTCTTTGTTTCTTCCCTTGTTCCATCTTTTTCCATTTTGCCGAGTCACCGCTCACCGCTTGCCAAAGAGTAAGAAGTAAGGAGGTGTGCAAAATCGAAGGGGCCGACTTGCGAGTAAAAAGCGGAGTGACGCAGGGCGTATCGGAGCGTGCGAGGTCTGGCAGTCGACGTGGAAGCGAGGGCGGAGGTCCGGCAGCCGACGTGGAGACGTGGGCAGAGACAAGGCGCAGGGGAGAGCAGGAAGTGAACCTGGAGCGGCGCAGAGTGTAGCGGAGTAACGGAGCAACGCAGAGCGACGCAAGGCAGAGCGGAGAAGGCCGATAGCAGCGCGGAAGTGACATAGGAGCATAGGAAAAGTCACTTTGGAACAAAGGCCGAGGCGACGAGATTTAGAAGAAAGAAGAAGAAAGACTAACAGACATTTCATTAAATCATTAAACTAGAGGGTGAATAAAGAGTGAATAAAGAGGGGTAGTTACGACACAGAGGAAAGGAATTGGTGGGAAAAGGAGGGGGGAGTATAAGTAGTCTATTAAGCACTTAAAGAGACAGAAGGTGATAGACGGTATAGATGGTATAGAATTAGACTCCACCTGCTAAACTACACTTAAAAAGCACCAGGAACTGGGTAGGGAAAAAGAACCTTGGAGTACTAACAACCCTTATATAGCAAAAGACAAGTAATAACCCACATATACTAGAAGACAACAATAATAATAAATAAATAAAATTAATTCAAATTAAAACAAGTAATTAAGTACCAATTATTACCTATTTCTATTAAAATAAATTTATCCAAAATCTGGGGAAGATTATAGGGAACTATAAAATCCTAAAACCATATAAGTAAAGATATAACAAAAAAGAAAAAAGGGAATTAAAAATTAATTAAACAAAAACATACTTGAAACCATCAGGAAGATAAAAATAAAGACATAAAATAAAGAACCAAAAGCCAATCAATAACAATCAAAGAAATCCAAAGACAAGTTTATGAACAAATTTCAAAAGCTGCACCTAAAATTACGCATAAAATTGCAAACCAAAATATTTAACCATAAGAAAAAAATCTTTGAGGAAACTAAGATGGCATCAGGATCATCAATAAGAAAATCAACCATTCCTTCACCAAAAACGCAAATCAAACTACAACAAGCCGCCAACCCACCTGTCACTTTATCGTCAGAAGAGCTAAAGGCAGATCTAAAGTCCTGGGTACAAGAAGTTGTGGAGCAGTCTGTACAGGAAAAAATTAAAGAAACAGTAGCCCAGGTAGTAAAGGAAACTGTGCAGTCAATAATTCCAATAGTTTTGAAAGCCGAAATGGAGCCAATCCATACAAAGCTAGATGCAATCTACGCGGACACTGAATACCTCAAAAAACAAATGGAGAAATACAAACAAGAAACGGAAAAGAATACAAAGAAAATACAAATAATCGAAGAAAAACATACAGAACTATCTGAAGATTTGCAAAAATGGAAGGCAAATACAGAGAGGTTAGAAAGCATGATAATATCACTGGAAATGGACAGAGCCGAACAAGTTCTAAGATGTCAAAATGTCCCTGAATCTAAAGGAGGGAACCTAAAAGAAGAGATGGCCTGTTTACTAGCAGAAGAACTAGAAATTGGCTCCAAGGAAGAAATCGAAAGTAACATAGATCAAATTTACAGAAAAAATACTGCATACGCAAAAAAACACAAAATGCCCAGGGAAATCCATAAGAACATAAGAACATAAGAGACGCCAATGTTGGATCAGGCCAAAGGCCCATCCAGTCCAACACTCTGTGTCACACAGTGGCCAGAAATACCAGTGCCATCAGGAGATCCAGCAGTGGGGCCAGGACATTAGAAGCCCTCCCACTGTTGACCCCCCCCCCAAGCACCAAGAAGACAGAGCATCACTTGCCCCAGAGCCCCTAGCTATACCTTGTGGCTAATAGCCACTGATGGACCTCTGCTCCATATGCTTATCTAATTCCCTTTTGAAGCCGTCCATGCTTGTAGCACCCACCACTTCCTGTGGCAGTGAATTCCATGTGTTAATCACTCTTTGGGTGAAGAAGTACTTCCTTTTATCCATTCTAACCCGACCGCTCTGCAGTTTCATGGAGTGCCCACGAGTTCTTGTATTGTGAGAAAGGGAGAAAAGTACCTCTTTCTTTACCTGCTCTTATATAGCAAAAGACAAGTAATAACCCACATATACTAGAAGACAACAATAATAATCCATATTAAATTCAGCAAAAAAGATCTAAGAGATAAGACTTTGCAAGCAGCTAACCAAAACCAAGTAGTGAAGGTCAACAAAGAAATAAAATTCCTGAGAGATACCCCATGGCGGGTAAGAGAAAAAAGATTTGCCTATAATAAATTAACCATACTGTTGAGGGAGAATGATATTCTCTACAGATGGTTGATACCTGAAGGTCTCCTCTTTACTTATCTGGGTAAGAGATATAGTATAAATTCAATTTTCAAACTGGAACATTTTTTGGAAAGACATGGTCCAAACTTAGGTGGAAAACCGGATGAGGACTCACAAGATTCTACTGAAGAAGAAAAAGAGGAAGGAGATATAGCACAGACTTCAGAGGCGGTAGAGAGTCATAAGGCCAAAAAAGGGAAAAGCAGGAGAAAAACAGAGAAATCCTCATCCAATATACTTACAAGATTTCAATTTAGAAACTTAGAAAAAAATAAGAAAGATGAAGATGGAGAAGTTGAAGATGATTAAGCTTCTATCGGTTAATACTAACGGGCTAAATAGCCCAAATAAAAGAAGAAGAATATTTCACCAATTGATAAAATTAGAACTAGATGTCATATGTATTCAAGAAACTCACATAAAAAAAGAACAAGAAAAATACTTAAAGCAACCAAAATTAGGAAAGGTATTTATAGCATCAGACACATCTAAGAAAAAGAAAGGAGTAGCCATCTATGTTAAAGACTACTTACAACCCAAATTAGAATTTGTTCTAGAAGAGGGAAGAGGAGTAGCAGTATCAATTGAAAGACAAGGAAAAAGGACCCTAATCCTAAATATATATGCACCTAATCAAAATCAACCATCTTTCTTCAAACATCTTCAAGAGAAACTGATGGGGACAACCTTTGAGGAAATCTGTGTAATAGGTGATTTCAACTCGGTGTATGACCCTAAGATAGATAGGAAAAATATTAAATCAAAAGCCTCCAAATCAAGTAACAATCTACCTAAAACCTTTCTAGAAACGGCGGAAGAACTATCGCTCATAGATATCTGGAGAAATCAAAAATATGAATAAAAAACTATGAGTTTTTTAAACATTTTCCTGCCCAAAAATAGCCCTGGCATAATCTTCTGTTTCTGAGAGGTTACCAGTTTCTTTTGACACCTTGAGTCAGGCTTGCCCATGCACGGCCATCACATCATTTATTTATTCAAAACCCTTTTTCATCCTATGCTGTCAGCTGAAAACTCACACGTTGACTTACAATAATTACAACAATAAACTATAAAAACATGAAAAAATAATCAGCAAGCCATAGCATTAATCACTGAAAATCACACTGGCTGACTCGCAGTCGACAAGTGCAGTATGGAGCAATAACTTGCATGGTTGAATCAGCTGAACTTACTGTCGCCAGGTCTTCATCCAGAGAAAGTTGCATGCTTATACCTTTGAACAAGCACCAGCATGGTATAGTGGTTAGCATGCTGGAATACAACCCCAAGACCTGGGTTCAAATCCACACTCATCAGTGGAGCTCACTGTCATGAGTACTGACGAGGGTGAGCTCCCGGCTTCAGCAGAACCCACACCTGGCCCCGATGATGCGTCGGAGGCCGAGAGCTTGCCGAGGCCGCCCGCATCAGCAACAGCTAATGAGGAACAATCAGCAACAAACATGTCCAGGCGATGGGAGGCATGCCTTTGGGGCAGATGCTCACTCAGCCCTGAGTTTTAGCAAATGCTGGG